GGAGCCCGATGCGGGACTCGATCCCAGGACCCTGGGATCATGACCTGAGCCGAAGGCAGACGCTTAACCATCTGAGCCACCCAGGCGCCCCACAATTGAACATTTTAATGTCATTACTTGTTATTCATTGTTTGAACATTAAAAAAAAAACTTGAAAATAACTTACTCTGTCAACTTCTGGATGGTTTAGGAGAATCTGTACTATTTCAGCATGTCCTCCTCCAGCAGCAAAATGAAGAGGAGAACTAAGCTGTCCATTTAAAAGATTTGGATTGCACTTTCCTTTTTCTAACAAAATGCGAGTGGCCTCAACTTTTCCATACCTATAAAAAAAAAGATAAAACTTACCCAAAAAAGTCATATGAAATGTTTTAAAAATTCAAATTTTAGATGATTATCTCAAAGAAATCTAAGATTTTTTTTTTTTTTTAGTAAGACATTGACATAAATGTTTTTAGTGCCTAGGGATTTCTTATGAATTCTTCTGGTTCAGTTCAACTGTTTCTGTTTCTCATCAAGTGGGAGGAAATATAACTTCAAATACAAGATAGAGCAGATGACAAAGAACTCCCCCCACGCAAAGTACAAAAATTATGAATTAGGGAGATAAAATTTTTAGTCAAAAATAGGTTTAGAATCAGAAACTTCATAATGCTTTCACTTAGGCCTGATTGTGATTTGCAAAATAGGCCCAAAGATAGAACTGGATATGTAGCTGCTGTGTTGGGCAGCTACATATCCAAAGATTTTTGTGTCTCCCACACTGCAGTATTTAAATACTTAAATATTAAATATTAAACATTTAAACCATAAGATACATAAGACCATAAGATACATTAATAAATCTTAAATATTAAAATTTAAATATTAAATATTTAAACCATAAGATACATGGTTTCTGCTCTAATAAAGGCTTACAATGTAATAAGAGAGGTAAAACAAAAACATGGGATAAGTTACATTATGCTGCAAAATTTAAGTAACAGTTTAGGATAGCAATCAACATAATAGGCACTATATATTTGTCAAGTCAAAACAGTATATAACTAATGCTTTTAAAAATGTCAGAAAAGATAGGACTTTAGTCTATGACTCCCTGAATTGATAGAACAATTTGAAGTGGATTTTAAGTAGGAAGGAACCAAAGAGATGTTGAAGAGAGGTAAAAATATTTTAGGTAGGGGGGAAAGGACTAAGCAAAGCAAGGACCCAGTAGAGTACAAAACATGTGTCGGACACAGTTGAGTCCACCATTTCATTAGAGCCAAAGACTTATATAAGGCTGCAATCTGAAGCAATGGTGGAAAAGTAATTCACTGTTTGTAAATAAATTGGTGGGAGGGGGGGAAAGGGGATAGGAAATTTGCTTTCAGATATGGTACATTTGAGGGGAAAATAATACATCTTTAGAAGTTATCTGATTTGCCATCAACTTTCCTTTCTTCCCCTCTATATACCCTTATACCCTGAACCTGCCACTTGTATGCTACCCTTTCCGGTTCATTTGACTTTTTGCTCATGTTCTTTGCTGAGATGTCCTTTTCTCCCTATCTCATTTTGTTTAGGTTAAATTCTGTTATTTCTCTGCAACAGTTTAAAATCTACCTCTTCTATAGTTCCACTACATGTAGCATGTTTTTTGCTTCTTTTATGGGACTTCTTTTATCTACTTTCACCCTTATTTTTATACATCTCTAATAGCCTGGAAATTCCTTGAGGGTAGATACACTGTCTCTGCATTCTCTAAACTGCCTTACAGACAAAAAGAGAGTGACTAAACTGTTCAGTAGGTATTTGAAAATGCAAGCTTAGTACTCAGGAGGAAGGCAAAGGCTTGGAGTATCTATCTGAAAATAAGCAAATTCATCTAACTGAAAAGAATTACTGTTAAGGCTGGGAGAATTTAGGACACCTGGGTGGCTCAGTCTGTTAAGTGTCTGCCTTCAGCTCAGGTCATGATCCCAGAGTCCTGGGATCGAGTCCCGCATTGGGCTCCCTGCTCAGCAGGGAGTCTGCTTCTCCCTCTGTCTGCCGTTCCCCCTGCTTATGCTCTCCCTCCCCTTCTCTCTCTCTCTCAAATAAATAAATAAAATCTTAAAAAAAAAGGGGGGGGTGCCGGGTGGCTCAGTCGGTAAGCATCTGCCTTAGGCTCAGGTCCTGATCCCAGTGTCCTGGGATCGAGCCCTGCATCAGGCTCCTTGCTCAGTGGCGAGCCTGCTTTTCCCCCTCCCTGTCCCTCTAACTCCTCCCCCTGCTTGTGCTCTCTCTCAAATAAAATCTTTTTTTTTTTAATTTATTTATTTGACAGAGAGAGACACAGCGAGAG